GCTCGTCCCCAGGGCCCCAGGGTCACAGGGACCCTCTGCATTCCAGGACCTCGGCCCCCCTGCAGGACGACATCACCCCTCCTTCCAGCCAGAGGCCCCAGGAGGGGCTGAGGCCCCTCCGGCTGCTCCCTGGACCCTCTGCTCTGAGCCCCTCACAATAAAGAGACACATCAGAGCCCGTCTGCTGAGTCTTTCCTGGGGGAGGTGGGGCAGGGCTGGGGGGGCAGGAGGGCAGGGCGGGGGCAGGGCCGAGCATCACAGGCCCGGACATTCAGGGTCAGTGCAGAGCAGGCCCCTTTCAGCTGCCAGAACGTGGGCAGCCGAGGCAGCTCAGGGGTTAGCGCTGGGACCCGGCAACACCCCAGCTGCAGGAAGGGCATGAGCCCTGCTGGTCACGCAGTGCAGACACCCAACTGCCCAGGCAGAGCCGACTCGAGTTACCACCAGTCAGATCCTGCCTCTCGAACGGCAGCCGGGAGCCCAAGGTCGTCTTCCAGGAGCGGGCGGGCCTTGCTCGCAGGAGACCTGGCACCAGGTCCCTGTGTCTGCACCGCATCCGCCGCGTCCTCCGCCGATGGAAACAGGACCGGCCCGGAGGGAGGAGCTGCAGGAGGGCCGGCGGGAGGGGCCCCGCTGTTCCTCACAGCCTCCATGGCCTCCCCCGGGGAGGGTGCAGGGCCGGGCGGGAGGCCCCCCCGCCCCCCAGGAGCCATTCAGACATGTATGACGTCATGTACGGCCACACGATCACCAACTTACAGCTCGCTGCTCTGCTCGCTCAGACAGGGCATGAGCCCCCAGTGCCTGGCAGGGCCGGACCAATGGCTTCGCGGGCCTCCCGCAGCCCACGGGCCGGATGGTCCCACCCTGGTCTACAGCGAGAGAAGCAGGGATTTTTAAAGAAGAACAACTTACATGCACGTGACACTATGTGTGCACATTCAAACATGGACAATCCTATATCAGCAGGCAAGGTACCTGCACGTGAGGGGGTCTGTGTAAGAGTGAGGTCGTGTAGAGAGAACGGGGGCACTTCTAGGAAGAGACCAGTGGCCAGTATCGACGGGGAGAGAGACGTCAGAGAACCCCGAGCAGAGATGGGACGGCTCCCGGGTTCTCCGTCGGTCGGGGGGCCGGCGCCTGCTCCCCCTCTGCTCCGAGCCAAGGTGCCAGGTTTGCTCTGAGCCTGCGGGACCC